CCCACAGCACAGGAGTACAACTGTGGTCACAGCTGCCCAAGGCCACACGTGGCCTGAACACTCTAACATGCCACGAGCTCTGCACTGCACCTTTCTGCGTGGTGTGCTGAAGTCGTGCCCTGAAGCTGGGGGTGACGCGCTCTGCCCCACTGCAATTCAGACTCCTGCCAGTGTGTCTGAGCTGTATATGCCACCAGTACACGCCCGCTAGTCACCAGTCAGTCTTAGTCATGAACCGTGGGCACCGCATCACTTGTGTTCAAGATAATGCGCCGTGTGACACGCTTATCGCTCAAAAACTCAGGCCATACCTCTCCGGCTGGGCATGGCAGCTGGAGGACGTGCAGCGACACTGCTGGCCCCAACAGCAGGACACCCCCCACCAGCGGGCAGGACCCTTACCACCCGTCGCTGTCTGCGGCATTCACATTCACGCCGAACTGCACCAGGAACTTCACGATCTCCGTGTGGCCAGCACACACGGCGTTGTGCAGCGCGGTGATGCCCTCGTCATTGGGCAGGCTGGGATCCTCCACCTGGAGCCATACAGGAAGGACAAGCTTGACCCTGTCACCTCTCCTGTGACCATCGACTCCACAGGCACAGACGTGGAGACAGGCTTTGCAGTATCTTTTAAAATCACAATGAAAACCTACAGGAGCCGAGAAGCCTACACCAAGAACGCCCCCAGCAGCAAGAGCTGGGACAGCCACACTGAGCAGACACTCACGGGAGAGAGGGCTTTACGACTGGGTGTCTTTTTGCTTGTCCTCCCCAACCTCCCACATCAAATGTAGCAGAAGCTACATTTGCTATGGGAAAAAAAAAAAAAAAAGGCCCCTAAAAATGCTTTAAATAGCAGCCTGCTGAAAAGTGAGGACCACACCTGCAGCCCAAGACCGCACAAGTCTACACATGGGCGATTTTTAGAGGCATAATCTTCCCAAGAACGCCAGACGATGACACGAGGGGGACGCCACTGTCATCGAAGTGTTAGTCACCTTTCCAACACTGGAGCCTATTTTAGTATATGCTCCAAAGCTCCTCAATCCCACAACCCTAAAAAAGAAATTTAAAAATACAACTTGCCTAGAATGACTTCTAAATTGAGCTCTAAAGCAAAACCTACAAGGTTATATTCCAGAAATAAACTGATGACCATCACACCTCATAAATGATTCTCTGCACCAGGTCGAATTCTCCCTCCAAAGAGGAATCCAGGAGCAAGGCGAGGGGGTTGAATTTGACCCTCATTCCATGCGCAATCCGCTCTGAGCCAGTTTTACGCAAGTTTGTCCTTTTGCCCTGCAGAACAAATGCATGGAAAATGAAGCCAAAGAACCCAAGTGAAGAGGAGCTCAGCTGAGGCTGCGGCAGGAAGGGAGGCAGCAGCTATACCGCAGACGGCTCCTCGCAGGTAAGCACACGAACAACAGCCGCACCTAACCAGTGTCCACACAGCTCTCCTGCAGGGCAAAGTGCCTGGGGACAGCGCGGGGGCCACAGCCTGCGCCTGGCTCCAAGCACTCACTGTCAGAGGCTCACGGGGACAGACAGCCATTCAGCTTACCTCACAAAGAACCCACTGTCCCGGCTCACACAGAAGGGCCTCAGCAGACTCCAACCCCCAACCACTCTGCCTTTCTCTTAGCCAAACCAGAGCGCCTGGGCAGGCCTGACAGAGGAAAATGACGAGGACTACCGCAGTCAGCAGGGGCCCCAGGGTCCTGCTGGCCTTGAAGCGTTCTGGGCTTCTGTGGGGCATGACGACGGTGCCGGCAACCCTGGCTCGGAGGAGACTGAGCCAGGAGCACAGTGCGTTCAAGGCCAGCCTGGGCAATTTAGAGGTCATTTTAAAAACAAAAGCCAGCTGTGGTGGTACATGCCTGTAATCCCAGCACTCAAGAGGCTGCAGCAGGAGGATCAGCACAAGTTCGAGACCAGCACGGGCTACAAAGTGAACTCCGGGCCAGCCTGAGCTGCATAGCAAGACCCTGACTCAAAAAACCGAAAAGAAACGTCTACTACCTAAAACCGCTAAGCAGATGTTTACTGCAATTGCAAAGGCAGCTACAGAAGCCAGGGAGATGGCTCAGTGGAATAAGCACTCGCCTGGCAAGCGCAAAGGCCTGAGTTCAATCCCTGATTCCACCAAAAAAAAAAAAAAAAAAGGCGTGGCAGCGCCACCCTGAGGAGTCATGCCATCAGCTGCGTCCCAGGCCAACATTCAAGGGCCACCTCTGCTTCTCTGCACAGGGCATAAGCTGGAGATAGACAGCAAATGCAGCCACCACAGGGCAAGGACACTGACAACGTCCTTCCCACGAAGCGGGGCCGGCTCAGACTAGAGTGTTCGTTACCCTACACGTGCTGGGTCTGTGCTGTTTAGCTGTTTTCAGGCTGCCGCTCTGCAGCCTCTGCTGGTCTTGAACGCACACCTGTCCTGTCTCAGCTTCCTGGGTGTGCACCGCTGCACCCTGCTTCTGCATCAGCTGCATCCTGTTACCATCCTAAGACCCACTGTACGCCAGAGGACAGGTGACATAAAAAGGCAAATGGGAGAAAAACATGGGGACTGCAGGGCACTCACGGGAGGCAGGGCACCCTGCCCGGTGACTTCTGGGGGGCGCATGCTGGCGGGGTCTTCTCCAGGCACCTCGGGCTCCCCAGATGGGTAGGGTGGTGGGGGATATGGGGGATACTCCTCCAGGTACACCTCCAACAGACGGGGGGGCTCTGCACGGGACTCCTCTGCAGTACCCTGGGGACCCGGGCTGCCATCCGAAGCCCCTTCAGGCACACAGTTCAGGCCTGAGGGAGGGGTGGGCCCTGCACTGTCCTCTGCCCTGGTAGGTCCCGTGGCCTCTGGAGACAGCGGCTCGGGGGCAGGGGCAGCCTCTTTCTCGGGTTCTGTGTGCAAGTAAGGGTTGGGGATGTCTCCCGGGCTCTCCGGGCTGGCAGTCATGGGGGCAGGCGCCTTGCAGGGGTGCGCAGGGGCCGAGATGGTCTCCATGGCGGCAAGCGTGGTCCGCTGGTACAGCAGCTTCTGGATGTTGGGCCCGCTGGGCCCCTCAGGCTCCGTGATGGAGCTGCGCTTCTTCAGCGGCCGTGGCGCGTTGGAGAGCTTCTTGCGCAAGGCCTCCAGGTCAGCGTCGCTCTGGTTCCGGTAGGGGTGAGACAGGAAGGGCAGCAGCTTGGTGGGGCTGAGTGGGCGTGGGATGCGCTCGCTCTCCTGGCTTTCCTGGGCCGAAGACACTGGCTCCATCTCAGGGTCCGGGCTGCCTGGCAGGCCCTGGCCACCACCATGCACGTTCTCGGGCAGCGGCTGCTGCGGGTTCTGGGCCGCCGTGAGGACGGGCTTGCCGTACACTGATCAGAAAGGAAAATCCTGGTTAGGGCTGCGTGAGCAAGGGGGCGAGGAGCAAACACGGACAACGTGATGAAAGCTGCCTCAACTGCCAGGCTGATGCCGCTCATTCCTCGAGCGCAGCCTATTTCCTGAAGCTTGTCCTTGCGTAATAAAAACACAGAATTGAAACTGCCACCTGTACCAGTACTTTATGAACCAGTAAGAAGGAAAATGTCTGTATACGAAATCTGACTCCAGCATCCACAGGAACAACATCAAAATGTGAAAAAAACACTTAGAACCAATGAAAATTGGAAACCTGCTCATGTGTCCAGACTGAATCTCAACTCAGGTCACCTCTCTTTCCAAGATCCCAAGGTGAGGCAACAGAAGAAGCCAACACGCTAAGATCACCACAGAGACACGGCCTCCTGACAGCACCTTGCCCGTGGGCCCTCCCCACACTGCCGCCACTCCGTACCCAGGGCGACGTTGCCCAGCAGGGCTCACGGGGTCCCCTTCACCAAGAGGAGCCACCATTAAAGCTTTGGGACAGCAGCCCCAGTGCCACAGGGGCCCAGGACTTTGCTGTCTCCACCGGCAGGCAGGTGGCTTGGGCGTACCGCTCGCGAAGTGTGGGCCTCGCGACTGCGTCTTGGTCAGCACGCTTTGCACAGCCTGCTGGAAGTTCTTCCCCGGCGCCGGGTGCTGCGTGTACATGGAGTAGATGGAGCTGGCCGCCACCGTCTGGGGCTTCCTGAAGGCTGGAAGGGCAGCATCTTTGGGAGGCTGGGGTGTAAAGGGCCGGACGGCAGCTGCAGGCGGGCTCTCCTGCTTGGGCCCCGTGGACAGGCCATGGTCATGGCCTCCTGCAGGTGCCGCAGGGGACAGCACCACCCTCGGCTGAGGCCCTGCAGGCTTCGGCTTGTGGCTGACAGCTGTTACAGCTGCAGGCAACGGCTGAAGGCTTCCATCCAGTTTGGTGTCAGCAGGTGATGAGCCGGCTTGGCCAAAATAAGGCAGGCTAATCTGTTTCGGTTTTGTAGGAACTGGAGGTGGCACTTTAGCCACGTTCTTATTTGCAGCCTATAAAACATGCACATGCACACGCATGCACGCACACACACACACACACACACACACACACACCCCAGTTAGAGTACTGTATACTGGGTATCCAGGCTTAACCTGACTTCACAAACATAAGCACATGGTATAAAATATTAGCCCTACGTTTCTGCCTCTCTTACTGGATCTCGCTTAGCAGGGGCTTCAGCAGTACCACAGGCTCCTCCTGCAACCTCCACCTCTGCCCCGCCTCCTTTCTGGGCATCATAAGTACCATGTGAACACGCCTGCCTGCCTGCTGACTTGAGTCACAGTAGATCCCACCGTGACCACCGCCTCATTCACCAGCACCTTGCACCCTCCGGCTACTGCTGTCAGACATCACCTAGCCAGTGTGGCCACGGAAACCTTATCCGTGGTTAAGAGCTTCCCAGCACCGTGGGCTGTAAGCTCAGCCTCAGACTTCAAAGAAATAAGATCCCCAAACAGCATAAATACTTTGCTCTTCCATGCAGCTATACTCTTGGAGAGAATCTCATAAAATACAGCCCAGAGACAAACGTGTCAGCCACTCTCCACATGCCAGAGCGCTGCTGCAGCCCCTGACCCTCCGGACCCCCTGCATTTCTTCCACTTTCTCTCGTAACTGCTCCCCTACACCACAGAATTACCTGCACATTTTAACCTGGATGCCCCGTACCTGAGCATCACGAAGGATGTCTTCACTGCTCTGGTTCTTCCGAAGCATGCCAAAGCCAGGTGGGACAGCACCCTGGTCCACCGTGTCAAACATGGAGAACGGCCGCACTTTCTTCTCTTTGTCCCTCAGAGGAATTTCCCCGTCGTCAACTGAGGCCGGAAAGAAACTACACTGACACTCAAACCGTCTGGAATGAAGCTGCTTATCCACCTGGAGCTGCCCTCTCCTCCCTGCTCTAAGCTCCACCCCACCAAGGGCCTTCCTGGTTCCAGGCCATGCTGCTAACTACCGGGACGCTACCTGAGCCTGGGCTAAGTGAAGGTGTCAGCAGTCAGCTAAAGGCTCTTAGAAGCTGTCCCTGGGAGTCACACACTAGAAAATGATCCACCCAGGAAAGGACTCACAGTGTCCTTTGGACAGTCAGCCTGCAACCTCACCTTGGTCTGAGCCAGGCCTAGCACTCTGCGGCACAGAGAAAAGGTCTGCACTTGAAGGGGTCCAGTCGGGGACGGCAGGAGGGACTTTCGGGCCTGGGGTGCGGAGAGAAGGCGGTTACACCCAAGTACCTCAGCGTGCTAACGACCCTCCTGGTGTTCCCTCACTGCCAGTGCTTTGATCTCTACCAACAGTTCTGACTTCACGCAAGAGCCCACCCACGAAATGCACGTGGACTGCACGCAGAAGGCTCTGCCCTTCTCGAGAAGTTCAGGCCTGTCCCACCGTACCAGGCAATTCAACCAAGCCCAGCAAGAAGTGTCTGCTAGAGTCGGCGAGGCCCAGCTCCTCCTCACTGCGAAGAAAACTTCACCACCAGACTGCGTCTGCCACGCGGCAGGACAGAGCCTCTGAGACGCACCTGCACACTACTGGAATGGTCTGTGCCCTACGAAAAGGCCTCATGTGCCTGTCACCCACTTGGGCTTTCAGCCCCCAAATGCAACCTCCGCCTTTCACAAACCAGCACTTTCGGGCTTCCTCCACACTGACATCTCAATTCCAGGTGTCCTGGCTCTCATGTTTTCTGTCTAGAATAAACACACAGCCAGATGACCGGGCTCCACCGCGTCACAGCACAGAGCTGTGAGTTACCCGGCGCATGCCACAAGGCTCGGAGAAAAGCGCCAGCACTGGCGACTGCTCTTCTTGGGGTCTGAATGGTGACATTGTCACAGAAGCTTTGTGCCCTGCCCTGGCCGTGACTGTCCCTGCAATTTCTCCGTCACACAAAACCCTGCTGCCCCTCCCCATGGATCTGGACTTCACAGAGTGCGGGACTACGTGTGTAAGTCGCCCCATTCCTTTCACCCTAATCTCCCAGACGACGTCTGCCTCTGTTCTAAAACTATCAGCAGGCAAATTATCACACACAAGCACACAGGAGCACACACCATTCACCAACAGAACAGATTCACAACCTCACTTTCTGTAAAGACAACACTAACATTAGCCTACGTGGCATTTTGAACAAAAGCAAAGGTCCTCAAGTTACTAACCTCAGCCCAAATTTCCCACTTAAAGCAATTTTTACACGTGCAGAGTATTAAATTTCATCTTCTGAATAGAATTTATATTATTCAGGTTTTTTTTAAAACTGACCAACAAAAATAAAATAAATAAATAAATAAATGAATAAACTGACCAACAGTACAAAAGCAATTTTTAACTTTCAAATTGACTAAGAATGTGCAGGTAAGTTCTGTGCCTAACTCTGACTTGGGGGAGCACAGGGTGACCACGCCGGCACTGTCACCTTTGGGTAGTGTGGCTGTGGTCCTCGTGTTGGGCAGCGTCTGCATCTTCACCAGCCCCTCTGAAGCCTGTGCAGCCAGGGGGCCCTCAAGCAGCGCCGGCTTCACCAGCAGCTCTGGCCTCGGGGGCATCCGCGGCATGGTGGACGACTGGATGTAGGGGCCCACGGCAGCCACACGGCTGGGCGCAGACACGGGCGGCTGGGTGAGATTGCCATCGGGCAGCAGCTGGGGGAAAGGCCCAAGGCCCCGGCCATCAGTGCGGGTGCTCAGTGTGTCAAGGGTGGAGTGGGGAGGTGCTACCACGTAATCTAGAGATGCCCTGGAGCCCAGCCACAAGCCCACGCCCACGCTGCAGCCTGGGGGTTGCGAGGAGGGAGCAGGGGTGCTGCACGGGTGACTGCGTGAGGAGGACAGGACACGGGGGCAGAGGACAGCTGCCAGCCCACCCGCCCCCCACCTCACCGGCAGGCTCTCCTTCTGCTGCAGGGCCGCCTTCTTCTTCCACAGCCGGGCGCGCAGCTCACTGACGCGCCGCTCCATGACGGCCACCTCGGAGTTGCGCTTGTTCAGACATTCCCTCTGCTGCTGCAGCCTGGCATTCTGCTCCTGGTTCAGCTTGTTCCTCAGCTACAGAATGGACAGGGAGGACTAAGAGGTGGCCGAGGAGCAGAGGGAGGAACCTGTCCTTGGCCAGTAACCACACGGCTCACCACTGCCCAGTTTCTAACACTGTGAGGTCCAGCCATACAATGCACTCCTGGGTTAAAATTAAGGGACATCTGTGCTGGCTGCAGTCCTGCCTGCGTTTCCTGTCTGAGGTGCCACCAAGTTTATTCTGGTCTTTTGGGACACTGCCACCTGCCCTCACCCTCCCAGTAAAAGCAGCTGGGCACTTCCCACTGACCCCACTCCCGGACAGCTCCACTGCGCACACCTGAAGCTCCTTGTACAGCCGGTCCAGCTCAGCCACCGCGGACTGGCTGTCATGGTGGCCATCGATCCTGCCGTTCCTCAGCATCTCCAGCTGCCTCGTGAGCTCCTCTACTTTCGATACAGCCAGAACCAGCTCCCTCTGCTTCTGCTGGAACAAGCTATTCATCTGTTCAATTTCCTCCACTGCAGTGAGAGAGAACAGAAAAGAAAAACAGGGATGGACTCCTTCCCAGAACGAGGCTCTCGTCGAGGTGGGGACCGTTCAGAATGGCCTAGACCCAACCTCAGCCTTTCAGAAGTGACTGAAAAGAACCCAGACACCTCTAAGTGTCAGCGCGGCAACTGCACAAGCTGCAGGATTTGTGCAGTGAATGTTATGAAACATTAAACTCCACATTTCAGGGACAATGAGCTTTTATTCTCAATTGTATAACGACTACAGAACTGGTGAACTACTAAACTCCTACTTTAAAATGGTATTGTAACAGATGAAACTGTGATGCGTGTAAATCTTTATTTTCATCAAATTCTTACTCAATAATTAATCCAACAGAAAAGAAAGGACATGTTCCAGGATTCGGGTGAAAAGCCTACTAAGACACTCAGTGCCAAGTTCAGCTGAGAGTAACCGGCAACATTAAAGCTGCAATAATTATGCTTTTCCAAGACTTTTTAAAATCACCTAGACTCATCTTCTGAGCAAAATCTCACACCCACTGCTGACACTCTCGAGTCCACACAGCCCACATCCATGCTGCCCGTGTCCACCAGCCCTGCATCCACACAGCCCCGCGTCTGGGCTCAGCTCACCGAGCTTCCCGTTGCTCAGCCGCTTCTGCTCCACGCGGCCCTTGAGAGCCCGCACCTTCTTCAGCTTGGCTTCCTGGCTCTCAGCCAGTTCTCTCAGCCGCTTCAGCTTCTCCTGCTCAGTGGCCTGGTGCTGCTGTCGTTGATCTTGTTGTTTCAAAAATTTTAAGCGCTGTTCCTAAAGTTGTAGATGAAAAAAGCAGTCGCCACAGTCAGCACAATGACCACAGCGCAGGTGCCCAGAGCCCCTTCCTTCCTCTCCGTGATGCCAGGAGCCAGCTGGACTCAGGCACCCCGAGGAGAAGACCTGGAAGCCCAGCGGTTCACACCCTGCAGGGAGCAGCAACCTCGAGCTGTTTTTCTCAAGCCACACTACAGGTGAAGGCCAGAGCTCACCACCATGTGGACAGCATACAAAGGACGGCAACATGCAGGACAGAGATACAAATCCAGACTCAAACCCAAAGCCGAGGCGGGTATGTCTCTCTCCACAGTCCACACTCAATCCCACCCGAATTCGGACGCCACAGTGGAGCCACAGAGACGTTATTCCTACACTAAGACATAACTAACTGGGTGGCAGTCACACATCCGAAACGGGTGAACAGCAACGTGCCCAGTGACATGGAGCGGCTTCTCCACAGGGAGCCCGCAGCAGAGCCTCAGTGGGGACCCCTTCCCGGGAACTCATCCTGGATGCTCATCCCAGCAGCTCTCCTGACATCCAAAAGCAGAAACAGGGCAGACCCCCTGGGAGGTCCTGCTGGCTGGCACCACAAACACAAGGACCCGGCCATGGGAAGCCACCACGCACCCACTGGTGGCAAGTCCCCAGCTGCTCCTGTGCGGATGTCCTGGCACACAGCACACACACCCCACGTGGCTGTCCAGAGCACAGCCCAGCAGCTGCCACCAGGAGCACAGGTTGGCAGCGCTGGCTGAGCTAGACTCCGCCAGGACTCCAGGCAAAGCCCAGAGCTGGCTCTGACTGCAGCAACGGGGAGGACTCTGGGAAGAGCTCTCCTTGCTCAAGGCCAGGCACAGGGTCAGCTAGGGGGTAAAAATGTCCCCCGAAAGGCAGCAGCCTGCCGCTGATCCCAAGCAGCAGAGGGACAGCGTTAGGTCAGTAAATGTCAGTGCAGAGGGCTCCCCGAGGCAGAGAAGGGCTTGTAAGGCTTCAGTCTTATCTGCCCCAGCTGCATGCCAACTGATCAGTCAGGGCTTGGGCTGGGCTCCGCAGTGCTCCCAGCCACTCGGGAGCCGAGGCTGAGGGTCACTGAGTGGGATGATCCGAGCACCGTGCACAAAAATGCGGCAAGGGACACAAGGCTGAGGACAGGCAGGCTGAGGGGCCGGGTCAGCAGCAGGCAGTGGCCAATGGCATCACACACGAGCTGGCCGTGGGGCTGCAGCACTCTGGGACCAGACCCACCTTGGTGGCCAGCATCTGCTGCTGGGCCTCGATCTGCTGCTGCTGGCGAGACGCCATCTCCTGGAGCTCGGCGAGTGTGAGGTCCATGCGTGGACTATTCACCTGTATCGGGAGACACACACAGAGCTCGGCCTGCAGCCTCAGGGCCAAGGCCAGCAGCGAGCAGCTGTCTCAGATTTAGGTCATTTACCTGCTTCCCCTCAGCAAATAAAATCACTAAAAGACATTTAAACTTGTTCTACATGTTTTCTTGATTTGTGAAACATTTACATCTAAAGTCTTACACTAGCCTCCCAGGTGGGTTTCTTTAGCAGCGCTACTCTTTGTAATGACCTTTGAGAGGCAAGCTCAGCCTATTGGTACAAAGCAGCAGCGAGCGGCAGCGCTGGTCACGCAGAGCTGCCGTGCAAGCAGGGGCACTCACTCCATTCTCCTTTCTCCGGTGTTCTCCGGGGACCTTCACACCATTTCTTCTCAGATTTGGATCCTGAGGCCACGAGCCGCTTGCTAAGCACAAAATTGAAAAGGGGACATCAACCCGAGAGCCAAGCGCCTGCACCACTCCCACTGAACATTCTTCCTGCCTGAGCCGGGCTCAGGATGAACGGGCAACCACCCTTCTCCCAGAAGCTGTGGGTCGGGGGGTAGGAGTAGGGAGCAGTCAGCCCTGGGACATCCCACAAACCACCTGCCCACTGGGAAAGCGCAAGCTGCCGAGCAACAGCGGAGACCCGCGAAATACGCGCTCTGGCCACGGGGTCTCACACTGTGCCAGTGTCCTAGTTCCGAGCTATTCAGAAGGGAGACTGGAGAGCTTCACAAGGAGGAACAACTGAAGGTAAGTCCACCCATCCTCGCGCTCATTTACGACTAGCCGTAGCTTGTACAGGAAGGAGGCCCTAGAACAACCGGCGCCGGTTCCCTTATTGAGCCCCCCGCCCCCACCCGCAGCCTCCCAGCCTGTGGTTTAAAAATACTATGCAGTGGCCAAGCTACTGAGGAGCCAGAAGCAGCCAGCAGAGGCACAAGTTCAAAGCCAGCTGGGAAATTTAGGAAGATCCTATCTCAAAATCTAAAGGGCCGGGGATATACCTCGTGGGAGAACACCATGGATTCAATCCCTAGTGAAAAGAAAAGAACAAAACAGAACAGTACTGCTCTAACTGGGCTCAGTGGTGTGTACCCATATTCCTAGCAACTCAGGAAGCTGAGGCAGGAAAGATTCTGAGTTCAAGCCCAGCTAGGGTCACATACTGAGACCACACCTCAAAAAAACAAAACAATTAAATCTTGCTGAATTGTCTAAAAAATAGGTCAGGTAGCTCATAATAGTCCTATAAGAAGAAAGAAAACACCTCAAAGGGAACACTTTGCTAATTTCTCCTTCGCACAACAGGTGCGTAACTATATTAAGGAGCAAGCGCCTCAAAAATAACTTCAGACACATACGTGTCCCAGCCCACTAAATGGGACAAAGGCCTGGGCACCACCTCCTGATCCACAGTCCTGAGGCCAGGGCTCCACAGGACAGGGACAGCAACCTTGTTCTGCCCACCTGTTTGTCTAAATACCATGTGGCACTGACAATGTGACAACGCCTCTGTGTTGTCTCACGTTTCGGACACTGAGACTGAACAGTGTACAGCGGGAGCCTCATTAATAATGTACCACACTGCAGCGAGACATGGGAACTGGGCAGCAGGCAGGGAAACTCAACTGCAGAGTAGGAAGGATCACAGCCTCAAAACCCAGGCACAAACCCCAACTTCAAAGCTTAAAGAACAAGGCTTGGGGGAAGCACACCACTAAGATTACAGACAGGCACTGGCAGCAGCCAGCCTGCTGCTGGGGCACTGGCTGGGCGGGGGAGTCCAGAGCCTGGAGATCTGTCACCCTCCTCATCTGTGGGACAGGGCAGTAGGGACAAAAATAGGCGGGAAGCAGAGGAAGAGGCGACCTCAGCCACATTCTGACTTCCAAGACAACCACCCTGGCTTTCCAGTCTTAAGATCCAAGGTGTCCAGAAATACCCAGTAAGCCTGCTTCCCTCTGGGAAGGGTCCCCACCGACTCCGGAGCCAGAGCTACATGTCCCTGCACCCACACCTGAGATCTCAGGCCACTTCTGGCCCCAGGCCCTGCATCAGCTTCTACCTGCCTCCTGCCATCCACATGCCCGGCCACAGCTCCCTCACCCTCTGCAGCCCCGAGGCTGCCTCCTTGGGGCCACCCCACTAACCCATCCCAAGTCACTCACACCTCCACCTTCCAACGCTGTTTCCAAGGTGTCTCCTCTCAACTCCTGCTCACCCATGTCCTCTCATTGTACCTGCTATCGCCGTCCCCACAGTCACTCCAGAGACCACCCACCTGGGCTGCCATCCTGAACACGCTACCCCCCCACTGACCTCTGCTGAGTCCTCTGGCAACGCCCAGCCCCAGTGCCTCCTCCCATAGCCACCTGGGCTAAGGGCAGTGTGCAGACAACACCAGGTCTCAGGGGGTCCCTGGGGCACGCAGGACCCAGACCCCACAGCTCAGGGTCCCTCCTCCCAGCCCACCTCAAGGCTTCCCAGAAAGCACCCTCACCCCTATGGACAGCTCGCCCTGTGCCCAGCCCCCACCCCCATCACAGTCGGGTCCACTGACTTTTCACCCCACCGTGGGAAGACACCCACGTGCGGAAGAGAATTCCCTCAACTCGCACCCGCGTGCACATTAGGCGTGGCAGACCCCCGCCCTTGGTCTAACGCCACTCACATTCACAGACTGCGACCCACCTACATCTCTGCTGGGTGGCCGCTCGTGACGGAGGAAGAAACGAACTTCATTCCGCTGACTTCCAAATCGCTGAAGAACATCAAACATCCGCTCATTATCAGCAACTGGACGCTCTGCAAGAAATGAGAAGTCATGCTGCCTGCAGGACAAAGGACGACGAGCGTATTTCCATGCTGTCCTCATCGGACAGAGGAAACACCTGACATCTTGAAAGTGTTTTTCTTTCAGTGAAGAAAAGGAAGGGCAACAATTTCCATACAGAACCAGTGTCGCCAGACAGAGGCGGGAGTCTGAGCCAGCCTGCACCTTCCTTGCCCTTTAACTTGTGTGGGCTCCAAAGGTTCCTGTTCAGTCCGGTATGCAGCAGGCCCCTCTGGCTCCTCAGATACTCAAAGAAAATAAAACGGGAACTTTCTCGACAGCCTAGTGCTATTTCATACAGGCTGTTTCTGACTCTTCATCTGGTACACGATGCTAAAAAGTAAGACTTATCCACTTCCCAGCAAAAGGCTCCTGACCGAGGGAGAGCGTCTCTCCGGCATAACAGCCAACAGCAGAGCAGGAGCTACATCGCCCTGAGTCCCCCCAATCTCAGGAAAGGAGGCTTGCCGGGGAGATGGCTCAGTGGAATAAGGGCCTGAGTTCAATCCCTGGTTCCGCCAAAAAAAAAAAAAAAAAAAAAAAGGAAAGGAGGCTAGGGGTAAAAACCCCACGCACTGTTTGAGGAGGCAATCAGACGCCAAGCGATGGCAGTGTAACCGCCAGATGGGCCTGCTGAACCAGCCCACAGAAGCCGCCCCTTGCCACCATCAGACACCACCTCAGCGGCTTAACTGAACACCAAGGACAGCGACCTGAGCCAGGCCCCAGCAGCCAGCTCTGCCCAGGGATCCACCCTGCCCGCCCAGTGGAAAACACAGGGCATGGCCTGCAGTCGGAAGGCAGGGACCCAGCATGTGGAGCCCTGAGGCATCGGAGAGGGAAAGCCTTGTGTCTGCAGAGATGCTGAAAGGCCCCTGCGTGCCCACTAAGGGAAACAGCACACACACGTGTCCTCAAAAGAAATGAGGCACAGCTGGGCATGAGGGTGCACACCAGCTGCAACCCCAGCTGCCTGGGCCGAGACAGGAGGTGGCTCAAAGCCAGCCTTGGCAATGTGGCAGGACCAGAGTGCCAGTCAGGTTCCCGCCCAGGACACAACGCCTGAACCCCCACAACTCAAAGGAGGAGGGGCTTAATTTCGCACCCGCCTGCGCGCTCAACACTAGCAGGGGCTGCAAGGCAAAGCTGCTCAGTGCATGGCAGCCAGGAAGCACAGCAGGGGACGCTGCCCAAGAGCAGGAGGCCAAGGACTGGACACGAGCCCAGGGCCACCCCTCTGTGGCCCACACAGACACAGGCACAAGTGTGCTCCCTCAGTCCCCGCCCCAAAGCCAGTCAGGACGGCCTCCACCCTGAGTGTACAGCCTGCCTTGGAGAGTGTGACTGAAGCTGGCCACAGGCTCCTAGAGCCCCGAGGAAGCACAGGACACGAGCAACGCCAAGGCCGCTGGGCTTTCCGGGACAGTGCCCTCCCTCGCGTGGCACCAGGCCAAGGGGTGGAAGTGTGATGACAGCAGAAGATCCCATTGGCCTGGCCTCCCAGGGGGGCATCTGAGGCTCCAGCCGCCCCATCCTGCCACTCACACTCACTATCCCAAGCAGCCACCTGCACCTGTGGATACCACGGGGACAGACACAAAGGCGGACTCTGGCTCAACAGAGGAAGGCAAGGCGCTTCTGTCTGTGCACCCCTGGACCCCCCCCTCGCGCTGGTCACAGGCATTCAAGGAATGTCCCCTAAGCAAATGCGTGCGTGACAGCGAGGGGAGGGCAGGGAAGGGAAGCAGGAGAGGAAGGAGGAGGGAGAAAGAAGTGAGCATCTTCAGTGAAATGGAAGGACATGCTGACCCCTTGCTGTAGGGAACCTTCCCCACGGACACAGAAGGCCCGAGGCCCAAAGCAAGTTGCCAAAAGCCTAAAACTTAAGAGGAAAGGTGACAACAAAAGGAAATCTGGGTGAAGGGTCTAAAGGAACAAACTGAAAATCTAGAAAGCAACAGGAACTGAGGCAGGGGCCCAGGTACATTTGGCACAGTTCAAATCTGCCGAACAGAAACCCACTAATCTGTACAACCAGAAAAAGGGCAAAAAAGAAAGAAAGAAAGAAAGAAAGAAAGAAAGAAAGAAAGAAAGAAAAAAAGAAAGAAAGAAAGAAACCAACCAGGTGTCAGGTGTGTGCATGTAATCCCCTGAACTTGGGAGGCTGAGGCAGGAAAGTTGCCATGAGTTCAAGACCAGCCTGGGCCACATAGTGAGTTCAAAGCCAGCATTAGGTACATAGTGAGACCCTGCCTCAAATATAAAAAAAACAAAAAACCCACAAGCTTACTTGGCCAATAAGCAAATGAAAAGAAAAGCAAGTCCACAATAATAATAATATACAGGCTTAAACCAATGACCATTTTCAGCTATCAGTTTAGCAGAAATCAAAATATTACTGCAGCAGCTGCCGATGAGAGATGCTTTTAGCAATAAATGGAAAGAGGACAAGCTGGCAGCGTATCTGGCAACACACAGCACACCCTAAATGTGTGAATCATGCTGTGGATAACGCCTCACGCACACGGGGAGCACCCCTAGCGTTTACGGAAAAAAAGAGCAGAGTTAATTTAAATTTTCATGAATAAAAAAATCAACTGCAGATGGAAAAATACCTGATTACTAAAGACGATCTTGGAGATTTACATGAGTCTGAGAAGATCTCCGAGCTGCCAGATGAACAGTGAACGGTCGGATGCTGCCATGCACGACCCCCACATAAATGGAACCAGAAGCCCACACAACGCTGCAGTGAGCTGGGAAGGCCCGGAAACGCGAGGTGCTGAAGCCACCAGTCTGACAGCGGGGGACGGGGACAGAGAGATGCTATCCTGTCCTCATGTTTCCAATGATACACATTCATTAGAGGTTCGGAGAAGCAGAGCTGTGTCACCGTGCTCCAGAGGGCCACTGCTTGCAACGAAGGGGACGAGACCCAGGAGGCAGGCTGGTGGGCAGGCTGGCGGTGTACACTTCCCACAGGGCAGGGCTCTCCCCCGGAGAGCAGAGCAGGCAGCTCCTGTGCTCGCCAGCAGCCCACAGAATGGGACAGAAACCTACCATGGACTGTGAGGACCTCTGCAGAGGGGGCAGCAAGGCCACCTGCTCACGCAGGAGGCCACAGAAGCATGCAGGCACTCACTAACTCGTTCCCTGCCCCAAACAGGCTGCAGGGCGCCCTGGCTGAGGGTGGAGCCTGGAGCAGAAGCAAAGGCTCCGCCCTGGGCTCTCTCATGCCTGCAGTGTCCAGGGAAGAGAGGGGACAAGAGGGCAACACACCAGTGAGCACCCACAAGACCCCCGGCATAGCTGGCCTGGCCCCAGAGGAGGACGAGGACCCCGTGGGTGTCTGACTGCCTGGGAACAAAGCAGAAGCAGCCAGTCACAGCTGAGAGAGCTGCTGTCTTATGGCCACAGAGCCAGGGGTGGGGTGACCTCCCAGCCTGTGCCCCACAGCGGCAGCCCCGCTGCTGCCTGCCCCACAGGTCCTCAAAGTGTCAAGAGGCCTCTGACTTCTCGTCACGCAAAGCCCAAACACACAAAATCATTTTCAAGCACCACACGTGCCCATGGCCCAGATGCGGCTTCTGGCGCTGGTTGCCTGTCCTGGACCTTTCTTTTTGACACAACGGAGTCTGCATTCTGTGTCACAGCTCAGCTGGACAAGGCACAGGATCTGTGTCTCAGGGTGAGCGTGCACTGCCCTCCTGGGATCCCAGGGACAGGAGGCGGCAGAACCTCCCACCAGTCTCGTACCAGAGCCACGCCACACTTCAGCCAGGTGGCACTCGCTCTCGCCCGGCTCCTTGCACAGCTCCACCAGGTCACGGCACGTGGTGTCAGGGGTGACGGGCACCTCCGTGAAGTGCTGCTCATTGTTGCTGAGATACACGGTCAGGAACATCTGCAGACAGAGACAGCAGTCACAGCACGGCCAGCACAACTCTGGTCACACTGCAGCGAGGCCAGGCTGGCCAGGGCAGGCAGGTGGCCTGGCCCTGTGGCCCTGGAGTTCCCAGCCTCCCTGGGTCCTCAGAACTCCAGAACCCCAGCATTTCACACCTAAGAGGCTCCCAGGCCTCTTCTGCCAGCTCTGTTCGCCTATTTGCTTACCAAGTACCTCAATGGCTTTAGGATGCGCCAAACCCACACTACAAACTCATCTTTTAAGCTATCCTTTCCAGCCAGCCAGAGACCTCACACACACACTCCCACACCTCCACCTCCTCCTGGAGAGCTGCACCAGGTGTGCATTCCTGATGGCAGTGTGGGAAAGAGGTGGCCGGGCAGTGGTTGGGACCTATGGTCCATGTGCCGCAGCTATCTCTGTCACTGAAAGCTCTGAGAGGGTCCCCATCACTGGTTGGGGGGAACCTAATCTTTATGTCTTCTGTATACATTAGCTATCAAAACATTTAAACCTAAAATGTTTAATCAAAGTTACACACCTACTCTAAAAGATTTCATCAATAAATAGAAATGATAACCCACTATGCTAAAACTTACCTGACCTTTTATATAAAATTTAGGACAGATGTAAAGCCAGGCTGTTATGTTGAGCTGTAGGGGACTCAGGTCAATAATTTCTGACATTGGCAGTTAAACAGAAGACCCAAAGCTATTATGGGCTACTGGACTCTTTTAGAATATTTTGCTGAGTTTACACACCTATAATATTCAAATGACGGAACTAAACAAAAAAGGGAATACAGATGAATGTCCATTTTGTATCTGTGTATTCAAAGAGGTTAGGATAGATGTATAGTTACATTCTCTTAATGAATAGAATGATTTGTTCTAATGGTGTTTGTAAATAGGATATCATGTCCGCATCTTGTACAGCAATTAACCACTAGGAAGAATGTATGCAATGTGTTAATTATTGAAACTGTCCTACCAATTTGATTTGAAACTGTCTCACTGCTATTTGTTTATCAATAAAATTATGGGAAAAAATAATAAAATAAAAATACTTTTAAAAAAATAAAATTTAGGACAGCAGATAATTAAAACTCACATAAAGTCTACAAACAGACACCGTCCCTTAACAATACTGTTACCAGGGGCCAGGGAGATGCATCGCTCAGTGGAATAAGCGCTTCCCTGGCAGGCGCAAGGGCCTGAGTTCGATGCCCAGTTCTGCAAAAAAAATTAAAAATAAAAATAAAAATAAAAAAATACTGTTACCAAAGAATTCACACGTTCAGGCTATGCACACAGCCGCAGGACACTCGCCGAGAAAGTGCAAGGCCCCAGTTTCAGTCCAACACCACTAATAATTAGTAAACATAATATTTTGCGTTTTTATACCTATCAAAATATTCTGATAATTCCCAAGGCTGAAGAAATTAAGTGGAACTGCAAGCGAGTTTTGGTGCCAACGCAAGCTACCCGCTGCGTTCAGGTGCGTGAGCGCCACACCACCAGTCGGCGTTCAGGATACATGGTGATGACGCTGGCAGCAATGCCCCACTCACTGCGGGACCGAATCTCTGTGAATGATTCTAATCAAAGCTACTCAAGGGCTCTGGGACACACAGGATACAGGCGAGGAAGCAGGACAGGCTTCAAAATAACAAAACCACATTCTGAACATGGAAAATGTGGGTTTTACAACTTCAGAAAGACACAGAATGAGCAGGTTCTGCCCTTTGGTCCCACGCATGGAGGACACATCCCACCCTCCCTGCCAGCGTGGCCTCGCGTGAGAAAGCTCCAGCGTGGAGGCACCGGGGCAGGGTTGATGACAGAAACTGGGCATCACGCGGGGCCACGGGACGTGGCGGGTGAAGGGCACGCCAAGGGGACCTTTGCTAAAACCTGCTTCCCTAGGGCAGGCAACTGGGTCTGCGCTGGGGACGGCACCTCCAGAGTCGCTGGAACACTTATATTGCCAGAGACAGCCTGGAAGGGATCAGAGCAGACAATGCTAAGCCATGAATAAACCAGGAAAGGAGGGGACTGAAATTTCACTTTGCTTTCAGGCTCTGCTCAACTGTAACACACAGATACCCAGTTGCAGGGCCTCCTCTTAGCCAGCAGGCAGCACTTAAACTGTTACACTGAAACCAGAGCCCTGGCCACCTCACCTGAAAACCCAAACATTAGCCAGCCTGGGGAGAAACACTCAGCTCCAGCTTCAGCAGTGCAGCTCCACCTCGCACCCACACAACTTCAACACAGCGCAGCTGAGACCTGGAGGCACCCACTAAATCACAGGAGTCCTGGGGACCTCGAGTGCCTACTAAGTGCACAGTGGGACAACCCTGTCGGGCCACGCTGTGACACACACAGTGGCACCCACCTTCCAGGCTGTCCTGCAGGGCTGGCTGAACAACACCGGCTCTCAGGTCTCTTCTTTATAAATGAAGAAAAAAGCCCAGCACTATGCTCTTCCTGGCCACTGAATAGCAGGCAGGTCAGGAACGATTCTGTTCTCCAGGTCTCCTCTGCCCAGCCATGTCCCCACGCAGGACGGGACAAGACAGGGAAGGACAGGGCAGTATCCAGAAACACTCCCCTCAACTTCCAGGCCTCTTCTGCTTTGGAAAAACCAGTAGCTTCGGTTTCAAAGTTGAGTCACAAAGCAGAAGGGAGGGCGGTATGGCTGCTCCAGGCCTCAGGGCCCCACAAGGAAGACAGCTCCCAGGGACTTCAGCAATGGGCCAGAGGTCCCTGAAGCCAGCCAGCAAGGCGACACTGGCCCCGAGCCGGACTGCCTCTGGAAGCCAAGGCCTCCTGTTTCTCCTCTCGAAAGCCCTCCCAAGTGAGTCACCTCAGCTCCCTCACAGGACCATTAGTAAGTGCGCACCAGGTGACAACAGCCACAGCATGTGACCTCCACGCCCACACCTGCAACTGCCCCACCTGCCTGCTCCGCAGCTCCACAAACACCAGCCAGGCGGGCGGTTCCCACGCTCCCACGACACCCCTCTGCGGAGCTTGCCCTGCCCCACAACTGTGATGTGACAGTGACGCGTACTGGTGGCTCCCGTCCTCTTCCTGCACCCTCTGTACCTGTTCCCCGCCCCCAGCTCTAGGCCCCAGGCACAAGACAGTCTCCACCTGCCACAGCTCCTGTCACTCCACAGCGCTTGTCGTGGGGGGCTTTCGTGGGGGGGTGAGAGTTCTGCCCCCGGGGCTGATGTTTCGATATGCAGCCAGCATGGGCGTGGACGCGCAAACCCTGGATGCGCTGCACCTCACAGAGCAGACCCAAGAGCACAGGGAGGTCAGAGCTGCCCCTGGCTCCCACAGCGGAGCTGAGACTGCACCTGAGCCCAGCTTCCTCCTTCCTCTGGGCGTGGCAGGCCCCAGGCATGACTCCCAAAGCGCCCAAGCCACCAGTGCCCTGCTCTCCCGCCACTGGCCCCACCCACAGTGCACAGCGAAACCAGTGAGTCCTCACTTCCGGCTGTGCCCAGCTCAGTGCCGCTTCCGTTTCTATCGCTCCGGTCCTCAGCAGAGCACTGCACTGCACGGCTTTCAAGCCAGGAATAAATGGCGCTTCCTGGTCCCCAGCATCTCTTCCTCCTCCACACTGCGTACCCCCAAAGCCAGGTGGCACAGGCTGGACCATCTCGGGAAGGTGAGCAGGGAGTCTGGCCTTGGCCAGGAGCAGCCTTGGAAGGTCACCCAGCTGTCACTCATGCAGGAGGGCAGTCCATGCACAGCCAAGCCAGTCCCACAGGAAGCAGCAGGTACTCTGGTCTGAGGCGAGTGAGAGCCAGACAAGTAGGCCACCGCCCTGGAGGTTGAAGGGCTGCTTGAACCAAAGCCCCGGACTGCTGCAGAAGGGCTAGCCTTAGGGCCAGCCAAATAACTCAGCAGATTAAAGCACCTGCAAGCAGGCGCAGGGGACTGCCATGCCGGCCCCACCCCCAAGGCAGGCTGAGACAGGAATGTGCGCCTATAATCCCAGCCCCTGGAGGCTGTAAACAGGTGGCTCCCTATGAGTCCAATCTAGTGAGACCCTGAACACCCTGTAGATCCCTTCCTAAAATTAAAAAAAAAAAGGCCAGCCTTCCATATGTGAAGTACACGTCATCTCAAATCAGCCAAGGGAGGGTCTGAGCAGTGAGGCCACTGGTGACACTCTGTGGAAGTCATCCTGGCCACTGCACAGAGGTGACAGGGGACAGGCAGGCAAGACCAAGGAGGGGCAAAGCAGACGGCTCAGGGTAAGAGTCCGAGTTTACCGCACAGCCATAAAGACGCAGGGTGAGGGCTGGGGTGGAGAACGGGGTCTGTCCTCTCAGCAGGGGATACAGTGACCCAGGAAAAGGCAGGAGAAGGGCCAGCAGATCAAACTGCAGACACCTGAGGGTATGGCAGGGATCTAAATCCCTGAGGCTGGCACGGCGGCACCTGTGATGATTGCAACACTCAGGGAGGCTGAGGCAGGAGGATCCCAAGTTCCAACCAAGGCTGGGCATTTTGGCCCTTAGGTGAGAACCTGTCTCAAAATTTAAAAGAAGTAAAAGGCTCAAGGTGACTGGGTTTAATCCCCAAAATTGACAAAAATAAAAAACCAAGCTGTTTCGGCTCGTGGAAGCCCTAACGGGGCTTGGTCTCAGTGGCCTGTGTTCAGCAGTGCCATGCTGCTGTATTTGGTGTGCTGCGTGTTCCGCCCACCGTTCCCACCACCACCACCTTCCTGGCCAGCCAAGTGGCTGGTGGCAGCTCAGTGCGGTAGCCCAGGTGGCACGTGGGCAGCACGGGCAGCCTGGGTACCCGCGAGCAGGCGTGGCACGGCGATCTGCTGCTGCCAGCCCCACAGCCACAGTGCTGGCCGTGCTGGCCTGGCTGGACAAGCACGTGGCCTTCAAGGTCATGCTAAAGGCAGAGGACACCTTGGCATGGCTGGACGGGCTGCATGCCAGGGCCACTGCCGCCTCGGACGGGGCTTCTCTTTGGGCGTGGTCGCAGGAAGCCAGCTGGGCGCTGGGGCGAGGCCACCAGGCAGCTGTGTGATTCCTATCTCCCCTGCGCGCCAGGCGGGGCTGCGTGCTCTCTGCCAGCTGGTGCGCTACCTACGCCGCAGCTGGAGTCCCTGTGTGAGTGGCACAGTGCGGATGTGTCCCGGGCACCTGGCTGGCCCCTGAGGAACATGCAGCGTGAGCCTGACCCACACTTTGACACTGAGTACAAGTCCCGCGGCTGCAACAAGCACCTGGTAACACATAAGCAGAGCCCTGTGGACAGCTGCAGAAGCTGTGCTGCTGCGCGTGGCCGGCCATGCGCAGCTGCAGCCCTCCTACGAGTACGACTAGCCTGCGCCCCCCTCGCAGCACTGCAGCGGAAGGAGGGCATCCCCCGACCCCAAGGGAGGAAGCCTGGTGGGGCCAGGTGCACAGCAAGCAGCCTGGACAACTTCGAGGACCAGGCCCTGTGCGTGTGCAGACCCGGTGCCCCATGCTGACCCATTACAGCCAGCAGGAGCCCTGCTTGCGGTACTCCCCAGGCACAGTGCCCTGGCACCCCCCTACAAGCCCAGCGGCTGCATTCCAGGGCTCACTGCCCACCCAGACCACTGAGCACGGCTAGGACCAGCCCCGCCTGCCGGCCTCTGCACTGGGCCCCAATCTGGCCACATAAGGGGCTTTCACCAAAACTGCCTTTATACCTTATGGACAAGTTGGTTCCTTGTGTCTTTGGTCAGTACCACTAGCCATGGTCAAGGCTGAGAGCTGAGTGGGCTTCACCCTGATTAGCTTTGATGGCATTGTGGCTGCCTCCTAGAGTAAGTTCGTGGTAAATATACTCAGTGTCGGCTTGTGTCCTTTCTTTT